TTCGGCCTTTTGTTCTTGATTCTTATTAGTAGAATTGAAGCAAAATATTTTTTCTTTCAACAGTAACGAAAATATATCATTTGAAGTTGATGGATGCAATTGCCCGTGAGATTTTAGATTTTATATGTCGAAAATTATCAGCTTTGGATGAGGATGAATTTGTGCGAAGTGGAGCAGTGGAAGCAACCTTTCAAGCAATCAAGAATGGCATCCCTGAGATTGCAATTGAAATTGCAAAAATTACGAATATATTATGGAACCGTACTGATCCTGAAGATAAAAGGAACATGTTTGCATGTGCTGTAGCACATCGTCAAGAGGAAGTGGCACAATTTCTTTATAAATTCAATGCAAGAATTAGTACAAATATAGGTTTTACCGAGGATCGAGATGGAAACAATTTATTACACATAGCAGCAAAGTTAGCTCCTCGTTCTCACCTTGATTACATCTCAGGCGCAGCTCTGCAGTTGCAAAGTGAGCTACGTTGGTTCGAGGTAAGCATTTCATACTTTTATATGTTCTGTCAATTAATAAATTTTATATTTTGATGTCACATGTGGCTCCATTAATTCCGTATAGTAATAATGAGTTTGTCACTAAACATCCAGAATAATATTTTGAAATTAATGTAGGCAGTGAAAGGCATTGTTCCACAGTTCTACAACTACGATAAAAATAATGATGGTGATACTCCTTCCCAAGTGTTTGTTAAGGCACACGAGCAGTTGCGAAAAGAAGCGGAAGAATGGATGAAGAAAACGGCAGAATCCTCTACATTCGTAGGTGCTCTAATCATTACAATTATGTTTGCTGTGGCTGTTACTGTTCCTGGTGGGAATGATCAAAATACAGGCTTCCCAATCTTTTTGAACAAAACAGCAGACTCTTCTAGAGTATCTTCTCCAACCGTGCCATTCATGATATTTGTAGCATCAGATGCAATTTCTCTTTCTACTGCATCTAGTTCGGTGCTAATGTTTTTGGGGATTCTTACGTCACGTTATGCTTATAAAGATTTCCTTAAATCCTTACCCGTGAAGTTGATTGTTGGCATATCTTCACTCTTCATCTCTATTGCAGCAATGATGGTAGCATTTTGTGTTGCTCTTTTCATTATGCTACAAGGTCGATTGTGGATAATCATACCAGTAACTTTGTTTGCTAGTGCCCCAATCATTATCTTTGGACTGTTGCAGTTTCCTTTTCTCATTGAGCTTTGTACTTTCACTTTTAGACGAGGCATCTTTGAAGGGAAATGAACAGCTTAGAAAAAGGAAGAGAGGAAATCACTCCAACAACAGGTTCTGGCTCTCTAAACTTGATCCCAATCGAAAAAGGCTTTAGCTCCAGTAACTCAAAGATAGATGTTCTGTCATTTTAAGTCTAGTAATTAGACGAGTGTGCCCTATATGTATTGAAACTGCAAGAAACATTTGGTGGATGTGTATTCTTTGAAGATTTCATGTACTTTTGTAAGTGCCAAACTCTTTCTGCAATCAAAGATTTATGTGAATGTTTCATATAGAGTGCTCCAATCTGAGACCCAGTTAGAGCAGAGAATTGCTAGATTGCATCTGTGCAACATGAGGACATGAACCATGTCACGTTGCAGGACT